TGGGCTGTGGTGGTGTGGCTGTGGGGCTGTGGGCTGTGGTGTGGCTGGGGGGCCCATGGGCTGTGGTGGTGTGGCTGTGGGGCTGTGGGCTGTGGTGTGGCTGGGGGCCCATGGGCAGTGGTGTGGCTCTTGCAGGAGGCCGTGCACAGGCCCGGGGGACAGCACAGCCCCGAGCAAAGGTCCTTCCGTGAGAGGCAGAAGTATTTTGAGATCGAAGTGAAGCAGCAGCACCTGGACAAGCCTCCCAAGCGTGTGTCCTTGGTGGGGGAGGACGACCTGAAGAAAATGAAGGAGGAAGAAGGTATGTTGGAATCTGTGCATGGAAATTTGGCCTGTTGAGTGATTCCTTTCCCATGGAAATGCAGCACTTCCAGAAGAGAAGCCCATGAGTGGTTATTAAAAGGCTTGGGAATAATTTGAAGTAAGTGAATGTTGAAGAGTTCTGTGTGGGCTACTGGAAGTGCTCTAGTGTCAGGGTGTCCTGTATCACAGAATACCAGGATGGTTTGGGTTGGAGGGCTTTAAAGCCCACCCAGTCCCACCCCCTGCCATGGACAGGGACACCTCCCACTATCCCCAAGTTTGCTCCAAGCCCTGTCCAACCTGGCCTCGAACACTTCCAGGGATGGGGTGGCCACAGCTTCTCTGGGCAACCTGTGCCAGGGCCTCACCATCCTCACAGGGAAGAATTCCTTCCCAGTATCCCATCTAACCCTGCTCTCTGTCTGTGGGAAGCCCTTTTCCTGTCGCTCCAGGCCCTTGTCCCCAGTCCCTCTCCAGCTCTCTTGGAGCCCCTTTAGGCGCTGGAAGGGGCTCTCAGGTCTCCCTGGAGCCTTCTCTTCTCCAGGTGAAACCCCCCAGCTCTCCGAGCCTGGCTCCAGAGCAGAGGGGCTCCAGCCCTCAGAGCATTTCCATGTCCCTCCTCTGGACTCACTCTAGCAGGTCCCTGTCTGCAGTTGGTAAACACTTCAGGAACATTTTTGAAGCCACTCCAGACAATAAGTCTGTGCCAGCTGCGCAGGTGAGCAGCACCGTGGCACTGTGGCAGCCTCACACAAGACTGGCAGCAGAGCTCTTGGAGCTCTCAGTGCTCTCACCATGCTGCTCTGGGTTTGCAGTAGGAGGTAAATTGCTGCTCTGTTTTTTTATGTCATTCCTCCTGCTTGAGAGTTGTTTTAGGAGGTGATGAGGAACAGTGTGAAGTGGAAAAAAGGGCTTTTACTGAATTCTCCAGCCACTCCTCTTCAGATTATACCTGGGCCTAGCATTGCTCTGTCCCAGGTGCGGAACCTGGCATTTGCCCTTGTTAAATTTCATGCCATTAATGGTTGCTCAATGCTCTAACCTGTCTGGATCCCTCTGCAAGGCCTCATAGCCCTTGAGGGCACCTCTCAGTTTGGCATAATCAGCAAAGTGTTACTGGTGCATTCTGCTCCTGCAGCCAGATAGAAGTATTAATAAAAATCTTGCCCAGAACTGGCCCCAAGGCTAAGCCCTGAGGAACACCCCTGGGGACTGGTCACCTGCAGGACATCTGCCCTCTTCTCTCTGCCTCCTTCTGTCCCTGACTCTCTCATGACCCATATGCTCCCAGGGCCACTGCTATGTGATATAGGGCCCATCACCAGGACCCCAGGCCTTGGTCTGTTCAAGAGGCCAGTGGGAAGATGCAGATTCCCAGGACTGTTGTCTCGGAGGAAGGGGCAGAAGAGTCTGTACCCAACTTTCAGTTTGAGGATGGGAACAGTGGACATGAGAAGCTGCTGGAAATCTGCCCACAGAGTGTCCAAGAATGGAAGTTTGGAGGATAACGAAGGAGGGACTGAGGGAATAGTGTAGAGTTTGTTCCATCTGAAACATTGGTGGAATGCTGGAGGAACAAAGGTGTCCATTGAGAGGGAGTGGACTGAAACCAGCACAGACTCGCCAGGTGTCCCATCATTGGGGGTTCAGTGTAAGGCCCTGCCCAGAGGTCCCATTGTTGG